CAATCAATTTTTCATTCTTTATATGTTGCTACTAAATAGTTTTTCATACAAACATAAAAAAAAAGCAAGAAGTCTAGTTTGACTGAATCATAGAGCACAGAAAAGGGAATAATGTAGGATAAGGCTGGAAAGGCCTGAGGACAGGTTATGAAGTTTGAATGTCTAACAGGACTTTATATTTTATTTTAGTGATAATGGGAAGGCCCTGGAGTTTATTGAGTAAGTGGTGACATAGTATGACTTGCACATTAGGAAAGTCACTTTGCCAACTGCATTTCAGATGTATCAGAATCAGGAGAGATTTGAGGTAGAAAGTCCAATTAGGTCATTGCAATAACCTGTCTATGAGGTGATGAGGGTCTGAGCTACAGTAGTGGTCATATGGGTGGTAAATGGAGTTGTATTTGGAAGAAGTTGTAAAGATAGAAATGACATCCTTTGGTAAATGCTTGGATATGTGGAGTGAGTAGAAGTGAGGAGTTGAGGATAATTCTGAGTTTACAAACTGCAGTGACAGGGAAGACAGTAGTAGCTTTGATTGAAATAGGAAAGTTCAAAATAGATAATGTTATGAAGTCTATGATGTGAATCACAATCTATCTATACCTCATCACTCCATCTAAAATTAAAAGATGTGGATAGGATTCTTCTGAAGAGTTCAGGGCCTGAATTTTTAGGGGTACCTTCCAAAATCATGAGTAATCTGAAGGATGGGGAGAAACTTTAACTGTGCAGCTACCACTGTAGGTGCTTGTGTCTGGGTTAGGTTAGATAATTGCTTTGAGAGGATGATGCCAGAAACAAAAGGTGAAAGGTTAGGAGGTTGCACAATGAGAGGAAGGTGATAGAATGTAGTAGTCTTGGTTTGTAATGAATGAAGGGTAAAATGGTTGTGTTATAGACAAGTCTCATGATTTACTACGGAGGCCTCTTAATTAGCTGAGATCCCTACTTTCCATACCACTGCTCTGGAGAATGGAAAGTCACCATGCATTAGGCAGATAAGTTTGGAAGCCTGAGGAGGATGACTTGGAATGGGAAGAGAATGGAGATGAGGAATTCAAATTGTTTTGGTCTTAATAATGAAGGCTTGAACTAGGATGGAAGTAGTGTAAATGGATAGGAAGGCATAGATGTGAGAGATGTTGCAAAATTAGAAACAATAGGGTTTGGGAATCAAATTGATTCAGGGGTTAAGAGAGAGAGAAGAGTCTAAGATTCTGATGCCTTGAAAAGGAGCAAATCAGAATAGGGAACAAGTTTTTGTGGAAAGAAGACAATTTCAATTTTAGACAAGCTAGCAGCTGAGGTTGAGGTGCTGGCAGAACCATGATGTTGAAGGTACATAAGGAAAGTTGAAAATGTAGGATGAGTTCAGGGCAATGATGATATATGATTATATATTCCAGAATCATCTGCATAAAGGAGGTAATTGAATAAATGAGAATGATTGGGATCACCAAGAAAGAGCATGCAGAGAGAAGAGAGAACAGATCTTTTGAGCTACCTAAATTGAGGAGTAAGAAGGAATAAGATGAAACAATAAAAAAATGTAAAAGGAGTAGTCACATAGATAGTAAGGAAAAGAATCTGAGTCATAGGATCACATAAATCAAGAGGGAAAAGAGAATCTAAAAGCATCAAATACTTAATCTGGATCAAGGGAAAGGACTGAGAAAAAGACATTGGATTTGGTAATTGAGTGGTCAATGATCACAGAGAGAGCAATTTCAAAAGCATGAGAAAGAGGGAAGCAGTGGTAGGGATGGAATCTAGATTGGGGGGCTGAAAAGTGAGATGATTGTCTTTGGTGGTGATTGATACCTGTCTATGAAGGTGTGTCCTAGAAGAGTGATATATACAGGTGACATCACATTATCAATTTTGTTTTCTCATTACAATCCAGTGACCCACAGAACTGGTTCTGGTACACTTGTCCATGCTAGTTCCTGTCTAAGTGGGTTACTCACTTCTTTCCTCCTTCTGAGTGTATCTGTTCACATCTCCAACTTGTCTACTCGCCTCAGATGCCTAACCTTGTTCTTTAGGGCAAGCACCATTCCATCTTACCTATTAAAATCAGTAAATGTAGTGAGAAAGCTACTTCTGCATTCAAGTTATTAATAAAGGAGCTATATCATTCATTGCCAAATGGACCAAAAGTCATTTCTATTGAAAATCAGAATGTTGGATAGAAGGGATCTCAGAAGAACTTCTGGCCAACTACTCCCTGGTACACAAATCCCTTCGACCTCACATCTGACAAATGGTCATCCAGCCTCTGTTTGATAATCTCCACTGGCTGAAAGCTCACTCCTCTGTTCTGCCTTTGTTTACCTATGATTGTTATCAAGTTTTTTTTTATAAACTGAAATCTGCTGTTTTATAATTATATTGACTGACAGTTACATATGCATTTAAAATTTTGAAAAAGTGTTTTTTTAATATAATCTCATTTGATTATGACAACAATGTTATGAGGTAAATGCTATGAGTATCATTATTTCCATTTTCTGGATGAGGAAAGTGCTGCTTATCAAGACAAAATAATTTATCCAAGCTCACACAGCTAGTAAAAATCAGACATGTCATTCAAACTGACACCTTCCTTTACTCTGTCATTCCCCACTATTTTATATTAGGCTGCCAACATACATCCTAAGGGCAGCTAGGTGGTGCAATACATAGAGTATTGGGCTTGGAATCAGGAAAACTTGACTTCAAATCAGGCCTCAGATGTTTCTCAGCTGTGTGACCTTGGACAAGTTGCTCAAGTTCTTTAACCTCTGTCTGTCTCGGTTTCCTCATCTGTAAAACAGGGTTCATAATAGCACCTTCCTCCCAAGGTTGTTATAAGAATGAAATGAAACAACAAAATGAGATAATAAAAAGTGCTTAGCCACTCAATAAATGCTTATAAAAATGGAAAACATTTTGTTCTTTGGAATTGTCTCTGATTTAATATTGGGATAAGTAAAGTAAACTTGGGCTCTTAATACAGAAGGTAATATGGCCCCATAGGTTTTACTGAGACTTCAAGGGAAGAAACTGTGTTGGAATATGGCAACAGACGGGTATAAAGTATTTAGTCCAAAATGACCTTATTAGATGAACTGGGGAGTGGAACAACAAGTATTATACGTAATTTATTCTTTACAGATGTACCTGGTTTCAACTTCATTAATCAAATTCTTAGTATGATTCCTGATCTTTGCCCATTTGAATTCATTATTGAACTCTTAACCACTAGCACTTCTCCACTTCAGGAAAAACTAAATACTGAAGCTAAGTAATCTCCACTTACATATTTCATTATCTCACATCTGCAAATTTAGTGCCCTTTACACCAATTTATTTACAGCATGGAATCTTGTTTTTCCAATCACGATGGCTCCATTATTTCACTTAAAAGAATTCTTATGGCTTCAATTGTCTTTATACAAATTTGTAGAGAATGAGTAATAAATTGACTTTGAAATGTTAATACAAAAAATGAATAACAGCCATTATCAACAGTGATATCTCATAAGAGAATCATATAGAAGTGTCCAGTAAAGTGTGAGTCCATCTGTGAAGTTGAGTTGGCAAGAAGAGTAATTTGTATATTCTTAAATGTGCACTTGTTGTGTCTCCCCAAGAAAATGTAAGCTCCTAGAGGACAAGAATTGTTTCATTTTTGTCTTTATATCTCCAACGCCAATCCAGCAGTACATGAACAAGAAGCACTTATTTTCACAATAAAGTAAACTGCATTCAGGAAAAAAATGAATGATTTAGGTCATTCCATTGTAATTATAAATACTTTGCAATTCTTTTGAGAACTTGTTATTCACATTCTTTGACCATTTATTATTGGAGAATGTCTATTAGTCGTGTGTGTGTGTGTGTGTGTGTGTGTGTGTGTGTGTGTGTGTATGTGTGTGTGTGTGTTTGGAAGAAGGTAGGCTTTAAAGAGAAAAATGCCTGCTTAGCCACACATGGCAATATCATGATTTGTATATTGACAGCCAATTATCTTCTAATTTTTTTTAGAATGAGGGGTTCACCTCATCTCCCCTCCCTTCACATAAGAAGCTTATTGTTTATTGCTGTGCTATATTTCTTCATTGCTAAATATTGAACTCTTGTTAATATCATAAGATCATATCATAGATCTATTTTTAGAACTGGAAAGCACTTTAGAGGTCATCTACTCCAAATTCTTCATTTTGAATATGAGGAAACAAAGGTAAAGACTAAGAGGTGAAGTATCTTGCCCAACATAACCCAAATAGAGCCAGGGTTTGAAGCCTGGTCCTCTGACTACAAATATTGCACTCTTTTCACTTTGCCTTCCTAGACTTCTTCACAACTTAGATTCTTTTCCAAAGAAGATTATTTGAATCATTACAATTTCATCACTTGTCTCTTTTGATCTTGATAGTGCTAAATCCTTCTAATTTTTAAGGGTTATTAATTTTTTCTTTTCTCTTTTAAATCCTTTCTTAAGCCTTGATTGTCAAATAAGGAAGTACATCTTGCATACCTTCTGTGACAATGCAAAAATAAAATCTTGGACTCGTTCAAAGAATGTTTTACTGGAACAAATATTTAGAACAATATCTGAAATGTTAATGGATATTTCTGCAATTAGATATTGTACATTCTGGTGCCTGTGCATTCTTAAGAACTTACTATTTGTCAAATGTTTCTATCTGTGGTATTTTTATGGTATAAACATAATAGCAATATAGCTCACTAGTAACAGAACACCATTATCTGTGAACTTGGAAAATTTTGAGTCTCATTAGTTGACTGAAAACAAACCTGAAGTTGAATAATATGGTTTACTGATCATAAATGCCAAGTACTAATGCTTATCAGAGTATACAGTTCCCTGGACTTGGAATTTAGAATAAAATGTATAAATATTTTCTCCAGAAAATGAGCATTCCATAATATTTCATAATCTGAATAAGACACTTAATAGTAAATAATTATGTTGTATCATTTATTCCCAGATGCTTTGAAAGAGATCAGCCTTCAGCCTTATGCCTAATCATACATGAGAGGTAATTTAATCCAAATGAATTCACTCCCTTTTCATGCCTTTTTGCTTAATTCTACACGCATGCAAGTGTTTACATAAATGTATCCAGGCACATAGAAAAATGGGTGTAATTGCAAAAATCCTGAGTATCCTTCTATTTCTCAGTCAACACAGAAAGTATTTTTAAATTGGGAAGGGATAAAAATGACAAGAAATATTGGATACCGGTTGGCTAAAATGATGATTCTGGGGCCAATTTGGAGGTCATGTCACTATGTCGTGGTTTGGGGGAGGTGTTAAGAGATGCCTTTCCCTTTATGGTTCTCTTTGTCCTTTATCATCGTCATTCATCAGGTCTTTCTGGATCAAATATAACATTTTCCATCTTTTTTTTTCTGGCCTTGTGGTCTGGTACTACTCAACAGCAGCAACCTGTTGATCCTGGACTGTTAAGTACTACTGGCTGGCATATATGGCTGCAGAGTGACTCAACTGTGGCAGACAGATGGAATTGTTTCCAATGTACACCTAAGGAGACCCTCAGTAAAGCAAACATTGATTTTGGAGTGGGATTTTTTTCTTTGTTCCTGCTTGTAGCCAGGAACCTATAAATAGAATCCCTATATTCTGGCACTACACCCCTACTAATTTAAGACATTTTAAAGCTGAGTGATAAACTTTATGTCTTGATAGACATTGTAGGAAGCTCAAACTTTTTCATGGGAGCCAACTGTAATGGTGGTGCTATAGATGACTAATAATGAGTATAGTCTCAGATGTAGAGCTAAAGTTCATGGGTGGCTTCTGTTTCCTACTGGTTCACTGGGTTCATCCTGCCTCAGTGGACCAACTCCAAATATTATAAATCATATAGATGTGAGCTTTTTTCTGATGTAACTTGTTTGCTCTATTTATTTGGAAAATTTCAGTAACTGCATTCCCAAAAGCCTTTGCTGTTGAACTTCCCATAACTGAAGCTTACTCAAGAATGTTTAGTCTTAACAGCATGTGGTTTTCCTTTAGGGATTCCTGAACCACATTTTGAAGAGAGACATACTGGTACTGAAGTAAGGTAAATTTACTTCCAGGTAACCTGGGGCTACCTCAGAATGCCTGTGCCTTCTGCTGAAAGACAGAGTGGGTGGCAGTGGCAAAGTAGGACCTCTCTCCAACACACATACACACAATTTGAATATTTAAGGATTGAGTATGTGGTAGCACAACTAGTTTTAAGATGGAATTTTAGGAAGAGTGATTTGTAATAATTATTTTAACCAGAAAGTATATGATTTAAATGCCCAACCTAATATACTCTCAGTTTATTAAAAACGTATTAACAGCTTAAGGAGAGAATTCCAAAGTGAATACTCAGATATGAATAAAATCATTCATTTGAAACAGTAATGTGCATTTGAATTCAGGGTCTCCTAAGCCAAAATGTCAGAAAGAGCTCCATTATCCCTAGTTAATTTCTATGCAGATCACTGGCTAAAAGGCAGGGGAGGAGGGGGAGGCTTCTTTTCTTTCTGGGTGTTCTTATACTACAGAGGCTTCTTGGGCAGAATTCATGTAAGTTTTCTTTAAAACTAAAAAATTATCTTCTGAGGGTTTTTTTGCATTATGATGTCTTTTCAGTTGTATAAGAAGGGAGTACATACATCCTGTACGTACATTATATGTATATTTGTGTGTATAGAACTACATAGATACATATATATGCATCTTTATGTGTGTGTTTGCATATATTATATATATATATATATATATATCATGTGGGTGTGTGTGGGTATGTGCACACACTTGTGCAAATGTTATTAATTATTGTATTAATTATAATATTTAATTATTAATAATTAAATAATATGCTCTGGCTCTGGAGTCAGAAGACCTAGTTTCAAATCCTGTCTGACACCTACTAGCTGTGTGACCCTAAACAAAAGGGTCACTTAACCTTTTTGTTTTCTTTCCAAGGAATTTTGAATGATCTTACAGTATGGATGAGAGATGGTTTCTTATGAAAGGGCTCATAAAGGAACATTATTAATCAACTGCTTTTTCAAAATAACTAAATAATGATAACAACTCAATCTTATATTCTCTATATCTTTCAGCTATTTGTAAAATTATAAAGATTAATCTTGTTGGAGATTGAGTGTGAAAGTCTTCTTATTCCCTAGTAATACCATGATTTAATCAATTTATGACTCTCAAAAACTTGAGGTGACTCTCAAAAAGATTTTGTATAGATATGAGAGTCGGCTGGTAGTTATGGATGCTTTCTTTGTCACTCTTTTTCAGTACCAATAGGGTCCAAGATTCTTCCCATGCTTTCGTTATTTTCTCTTCCTTTAGATACTTTTTATATCAGTCCTTCTATGTCCTCAGAATTGTATAACTTCCAGAATGCATATCTTGAATACATACTCTCTCTAACCTAGTTGCTTTCCCCATCTTTGTTATCTCTAGTGCCAATTCTATTATATGTAATTTTTCTAAAATTCTTTTCAAAACTTTAACTTTCTAATCTTTCTGCCAGATTTTTTGGATCTTAAAAGGGTATAACAAAGCCCCCAACAATTACTATTTTACTTTTCATTGTCCCTGTAGTTTGATTAGCTTTTTTTTTTTTTTTTGCTTTTAGGCAATTGGGGTTAAGTGACTTGCCCAGGGTCACACAGCTAGTAAGTGTCAAGTGTTTGCTCTGAGGCCGGATTTGAACTCAGATCCTCCTGTCTTCAGGGAGTTTATCTTCTGTCTAGGAAAACAATACATACATATATAAATGTAGCACTCTGCCTGGGTGTGTTTGGGCAGTACCCTGAAGGACTAATGCTACATACATATGGACATACATAATACTTTCATATATATGTGACAGTCAGAAAGACACAAAGAGACAAAGAAAAACACCTAAAAAGAGAGTAAGAGACAGGGAGAGATATAGATGGAGACAGAGGGACACAGTAGCAGAGACAGAGATACAGAGAGACACAAAACTGAAAGAAAGAGAAAGAGAGGTAGAGAAATAAGCTGAGATAGAGAAAGATGGGAAAAGATAGAGAGAAAATGATAGAGTGAGACATAGGGGCAAAACAGGGGGAAGGAAAGAGTGGGAAAGAAGGCACAGACTGAATTTTGAACAGGAAAGCCATAGGGACATGGCCTGTATTTTCCAGCAGGCCTGTCTGGAGGTGAGACAAGGTAAGATGTTCTCCCTGACTTGCAATCCTTTGTTCAAAACCTGTATATCAATTTGTTAAATGATATGGCAGAGGGTATTCTTAGTCATGTATGAGTAAAACTAGAAGGCCTCTGAGGTTTATTCCAACTCTAAAATCCCCCCCCCACTTAATAGTAATTTATTTTTTCCAAATATATGTACAGATAGTTTTCAACATTCACTCTTATAAGATTTTGAGTTCCAAACATTTTTCTCCCTCCTTCTCCCTCTCCCCCAAATGGCAAATAAACTGATATAGGCTATACATATGCAATCATTTTAAATATATTGCCACATTAGTTATGTCGTGAAAAAAGAATCAAACAAAAGGGAAACACCATAAGAAAGGGAAAAAAAGACAATATTATGCCTTGATCTGTATTCAGAATCCACAGTTCTTTCTCTGGATGTGGAAAGCAATTTCCATCATGAGTCTTCTAAATTCTAAAACAGTCTTCTAATTCTAAAAGAATTGTCTTAGATCATTGTATTGCTGAGAAGAGATAAGTACATCAAAGTTGGTCATCATACAATGTTGCTGTTACCATGCACAATGTTCTCCTGATTTTGCTTACTTTACTCAGCATCAGATCATGTAAATCTTTTCAGAATTTTCTGAAATCTGCCTATTCATCATTTCTTATAGAACAATGGTGTTCCATTACATACATATACCACAACTTGTTCAGCCATTCCCCAATTGATGGGCATCCCCTCAATATCCAATATTTTGCCACCACAAAAAAAAAAAGCTGCTATAAACATTTTTGTACATGTGGGTCCTTTCCCTTTTTTATGATGTCTTTGGGAATACAGACCTAGAAGTGGTATTTCTGGGGCAAAGGGTATGGACAGTTGTATAGCCCTCTGAGCATAGTTCCAAATTGCTTTCCAGAATGATTGGATCAGTTCACGACTCTACCAGCAATGCATTAGTGTTCCAATTTTCCCACATCTTCTCCAACATTTATCATTTTCCTGTTTTGTCATGTTAGTCAATCTAATAGGTATTAGGTGGTAGCTTAGAGTTGTTTTAATTTGCATTTCTCTAATCAATAGTGATTTAGACCATTCTTTTCTTATGACTAAAGATAGCCTTAGTTTCTCCATCTGAAAACTTCCTGTTCATATCCTTTAACCATTTATCAACTGGAGAATGACTTTTATTCTTACAAATTTGATTCAGTTCTCTATATATTTTAGAAATTAAGCCTTTATCAGAGAAACTGGCTGTAAAAAATTGTTTCCCAGCTTTCTGCTTTCCTTCTAATCATGGTTGCATTGCTTTTGCTTGTGCAAAACCTTTTTAATTTAATGTAATCAAAATTATTCATTTTGCATTTCATAATGTTTTCTGTCTTTTGTTTGGTCACAGATTCTTCTGCTTTCCATAGATCTGGCAGGTAAACAATGTCTTACTCTCCTAATTTGCTTATGTTATCACCCTTCATGCCTAAATTGTGTATCTATTTTGACTTTATCTTGGTATATGGTATAAGATGTTGGTTGACCAACTCTAAGATTTTAAGACAAAGGTGAGGAATCTTTACAAAAATCATGTTCCTAGGTTTTTGAAATAATTTAAAATAGTATTTCTCACATTATTAAGGAACAACAAATAATAACAGCAAATATTTATCGTTTGTCATATTCTAGGGATCTTACATTCTAATGGGCGAAAACAACATGTGCAAAGATAAGTAAATGCAAATATATGTATGTGTGTGTATATACATATTATAATGTACACACATAATGTATATATACAAACACATATATATGTATGTATATGTAAAGTGGAGTGTGTGTGTGTGTGTTCATGTGTGAGACAGAGAGATAGAGGGAGAGAGAGAGAGAGAGAGAGAGAGAGAGAGAGAGAGAGAGAGAGAGAGAGAGAGAGAGAGAAACAGTAGGCTCTGCTCTGGGTAATTCACAACCCATGAAATGCTAAGTGTGTACCCTGGACAATGCTAGTGAAATTTAAAAGTGCTTGTTGCTTTGGGATAACACAATAAACCTAAAGTAATCTGCTATGGCTGAAGGGAAGGGACTTCTTTAAAGCTGTGTCAACATTCATTGGACACTAAACTTATTCAGAGGGCCTTAAATGTAATAACACTGACCTGTGACCCATCTCTTCCCATTTGCTGATTAGACACATCAGACTTTTATTAAGCATCTACCCTTTGCCACGTACTGTGCTAAGTGCATGGAATACAAAGAAAGGTAAAAAACAAAACAAAACACAAACAGTCCCTGCCTCACAATCTAACAGGGAGTTGTACAGGCAATTTTGCTGTTGAACAGAAATGATAATTGGGAAATTCTTCCTTACAACAACTTTCAAATAAGTATATTTAAATAAGTTGTCTATAGGATAAGTTGGAAATAATCAACAGAGAGAAAGCAATAGAATTAAGAGGTACCAAGAAAGCATCCTTATAAGAAGTGATACTTTAGCTGGGATTTGAAAGAAGCCAAGGAATCAAGGAGAGACTAGAAGCATATAGGACAGAGAGTGAAAATGCCTAGAGTTGGAAAATAGACTGTCTTGTTCAAGGAACAGCAAAGAAGCTAGTGTCACTGGTCTGCAATTTGTGATCACATTTTGGGGGAGTGTGGAAAAGTGAGAAGGAGGCAGATTATGAAACACCAAAGAGATGGTTTTATATTGATTATAATATATTACGTTATGTTATGTTATGTTATGTTATATTATATTATATTAATTATATTATACTGTATTATATTGTATTATATTGTGTTGTATTATATCATATCATATCATATCAATTATATTATATTATATTATATCATATCATATCATATCAACTATATTATATCACATTA